GTACCAAAAGCATAGTTTGTATTGAAATGAGAATATCACCACTAAAAATAGACTTCAGAAAAAGAAGTTCCGTTTTCAGAATATTTCAGAAACTCCATTTTCAGAAAAGTTATTGAATGCGAGCAAAATTAAAAGATGTATTCGTTTGGATAGTTAAGTCAAAATTATTTCTAATTTTTTATTGTTAAAGCCTATTTTGTATTTTGTGCAAGAGATAAATGTATAAACTGTTATGAAAGATAAACAAAAAACAGTTTTGAAGTTACGGTCCAGACATACAACTCTCGTCGACAATCGATAAATTCTAAAAGTTACAAATTAATACATACTCCTGCACATGAAAATAGTTAATAATAATTCTAAAATATTTCAACAATAAAATTTTAATTTATTGAATCTACTCAAGGTATCTAGACTGGAAAGAAGAGCGGAAAATACTCAATGCTCAGAGGTTTCTGCACACTACAACGGTCCCTTTGGTTGCAGTTATCACAACCTACTACAGCCCAACTCGTGCTTTCCCAGAATATACACAATAATAATTTCCGATGCCCATAAAAATAGAAAGAAAACTAGGTTGCATCCAGTCATGTGAGAGATGTCAATGATTCCGTTAGTTCGATCGGAACTTGGGGAAAATACCAACTCATCTATATTACTAATTTTCAATGAGAACAGAAATCGACAAATGATGCCTTCTCCGCTTCTGCAGATATCTCGTTCTTGACTATAGATCCTTGCTGAATTATCTTCCTCAACATCGCTTCATCCCTCAATTGTTCTTCACTACGAGTTCATACAACTGGAACAAAATTTATATTTTCATATAGTAACAGATACCTTTAAATAAAACGCAATATCAGTAAAATGGTACCTGATATCGAAACGTTTCTCTTTAAGGATAAAAACTGGAATCACGTGATACCTATAAAAAAAGAATCGCGAGCAACATGTGTAAGCCGTTACATCGATTGTTCCCTTATTCGCCTCGGGCAGGGCAGTTGCCAAATAAGAGCAGACATCCAGGAGCGCCGTGCGCCGGCTCTGCGCCGCGTCTAATTGCCGCGCGCGGGGGCAAGACGCTTCTCCCGGGGAAGGCGGCTGCGCGTGCGGCGCGGTTCCCGGGCGCTGAGCGCGACAGAAAAGGCATGGTGGGAGAGGGGGTTAACAGGACGGGACGGGGCAGAGCGCGACAGAGAAGGGCTGGTAGGACGGAGCGGGGCGGGGCGTGGTGTGGTGGAGCGGAGCTGGGCGGAGCGGGGCGGAGCGGGGCGGAGCGGGGCGGAGCGGGGCGGATAAATATTACTGAGCCCCGGTTGATTGTGTGTTCGCGTGGTCCCGAGGTGACCAATTCGAGACAAAATAATAATAATAATAATAATAATAATAATAATAATAATAATAATAATAATAATAATAATAATAATAATAATACGTGCGAAGTGCCTCAGTGCGTAGCGCGCTGTCTTCGCAGTCGAGAGGCCCAAATTCGATCGCCGGGCCCGCCATCCTCTCCGGAGTTGAGCGGGGCGGTGACGGGCAGAGCGGAGCGCAGCGGGGCGCGGCAAGCAGGACCGGGAGAGGTTGGTAATAGAGGAGAGAGTGTGGTGCGCGACGGGGATGAGACGGGGAAGGACTGAACGAGATTGTGCGATGCGAGTCCGGAAAGAGCGGAGCGGGTTGGGATGGAAGAGGTTGGGAAGACACGTGGCGAGGCAGGGCGGGGTGCGTTGACGAGGCCGGATCGAGGTTGGGCGAGGAGGGTTTGAGCGGGTAGGGCCAGCGGGAGGCCGGGCGGGACGGTGAGGCGGAGATCGGGGCAAGGTGGAACAGGCGGAGCAGTCGGAGCGGGGTTGGGCGGAGTGGAGCGGGGTGGATGCAGTTGCCGTCGTTGTGGTTGCGCAGCGCTCGCCGTGCTCGCAGACATTCGCGTGCAGGACGGCGGACGCGGGCTCGGCGGGTCACGTGGCCGCGGGCGCTCGGATGCTCGACGCATGGCCAAGTAGCCGAGGGACACCATCGACGCCGCTCACTCTGACGACGCCGACGCGTTGCCTTGGAGATGCTCCGTATTTAGACAAATATATGACCAATATATATTGGAGTCGACCTGTCTATAAAAATCGATTAATTCTCTGGGAGAACGGTGCGGGTGCGTACATTCGTTCATTATTTAACAGCGATCGTGGAACGACATCAATAAAGACATTTTTCCATAAAAAAACACTAGGTTTTCACTATCCTGTTCTTGAAATAACTTTTAAAACTCTTTCCTAACTAAATGTCTTGCTTGTTTTCCTTATTTTTTTGTAAATGTTCTCTAGGATTACATATACTCGTATCTACACTCTACATACAGTGAGTTCAGCGCAGGGGCGTTTTGGTGAACTAGAGAATGTATAATAATAATAATAATAATAATAATAATGTCTTTATTAATGGCGAGGCTCAGGCCATAGGGCCTGCTCTTCCGCCTAACCACAATGTGGGATGCGACTGTAAAACTTCTTGGTGAACTGCACGCGCGAATGAGAAACGAACGAAGAAATAATTCTTCTTGAGACTCAAGTTTTCTTAATCGGTGACGCACGCATGCAGTATGTGTATATGATCTCTTTAAAGCAAGTCGCTTCGTACAATCGAAGTCGATTAATACAATAAATGCTTGTGTATTCATAAGAATACCATCAGAGCTCTTCAAATAAAAGTATGAGCGCGAGTTTTGAACAGTTCTGAAAAGAGGACATCGATTGCTTTTTACATAATGAACCCTGTTTATGCTCTTAAAATAAGTCATGAAACATTTCTTGGGACGCCGCAACATTGTGGAAAGGACGTACCCAGAGCGAAACATGTGGACACGACGAGGGGCCACATAAGCGGCGACACCGACACGGGTGTTGCGTCTATTTGCGGCCTCCCTGTAAGATAGGTCTGCACAGACTTTTGCACTTTCGCTGACCTCGGGAGCCGCGCGCGAGCCACTCGAGTGCAAATTCAGGAAGCTAAGGAAGGTGTTGATAAGACCCACTCTAGAAGTGGGGGCCACCAATGCAAATGGGCAATTGGCAATCGGCGAGAACATGACAGACTGTTCATGCAATATTGCCATTTGTTATATTGGAAATGTTTGTTGCCAATAGAAAATTTGAAATATAAACCTACAACGAATTAGAAATACCTACACATTGGTTTTTGACATCGAGTATTATAATTGCTTGTAGGGCACTGTAATTCACGTAGTTACGATGTAATCACAAATTTGGAGTGGTGTTAAACACAAAATTGTAATATAGAATCCTTTTTATTTGACAGTGACAGTAATCAACTATTTGTATTAACTGATTTAATTAATTAAGACAGTTGTATCAAAGTAAATAGAACTTAAAAAATGATTACTTTCTGCTCAAAATTTTTACAAGAGTACATTATATATTTCGAACATCAACTCAATGAACACTATTCGTAATCGTTTTCGGCATTGATATATATTTAAAATATACCATCATCATCACCAGCATCAGCATTGGTTTGGCTGATCGGCAAAGTTCCGGCAAAGTTGTCTAGAGATGACCATCTCTTCCTTGGTCTTCCTACCTCTATTTTTCCTTTTAGGGGATAGTAATAGGACGGTTTGGGTAATTTCTCATTGTTCATTAATTGTAAATAGTCTATCCAGTTTTTTTAAATATATTTATTTTTTCTTGTAAGTTCGTAATTCCCAATTCTTCTGTTATATCCTCATTTTTGATATGGTCCATTAATGTGCATCCTTTCACTTACCTCAGAAATCGCATTTCTTCTGCGTTAATTCTCATGTTTGCTCTAGATGTTGTTATCCATGTTTCACATTCATACAGGAGAGTAGGTGTGGCCGTTTTTCTATAAATTTTGAGTCTGTTTTTTGTGTTTTTCTTTATGTTTGTTTGATAGTGTTGTTTGACAGATATTTAAAATATATAGTAACTGATTTTTTTAGTATATGTCCATAAAACATTAACTCTTCACTGGCGCAGGCTTAAAATTTTAGAAATGTCTTCTAAGAGTTGAACGATATCTAATACATAGGGCGTTTTTGTTAGGTTTACTCTCATAATTTCCTTCGTTTTGCTATCATTTTGATATTATAACTTCCCTAGTGAAAAATCAATTATCAAATTGTAAAATAATGGTAGATAGAATTAAATAATATATTTTTAAAATGTCCACTGCTTTAAACAATTGTTTAAGCGTCGCAATGACCATATATTTTCTAAAAAAATCAAAAAGGTAAATATGTCGATCCATAGCAGTGGATAGAAGAACTTAAACAGTGAATTATGAAACTTATAGCAACAAATACGCGATATTTCCCATTTAAGTGGGCAAATAATTTCACAGCATGGATCAGTACATTAGTAACCCAGACAATCAATGTAGGGGCGGTGCCATTCCCACTGTGCAATAGCAAGCTACTCCTCTCCTCAAAACCCCCAGTACTTGCACTTGCACTGCTCTCGCGGGCAGATCTCCAGCTCTCAGAATGCCCGCAGGAGCAGGTGTTGTGCAGGCCTGCTGCAAGAGCAAGATTCGGAGCCATAAAATGGCTGGATACATTAAAATAAATCGATATATTTAGTATTGGGGTAAAACCGGCTAAAAGCAAATGAATATATCGATGTAATTTTTTGTGCTGAAATAAATTGAGTATATTAAAAATATATGTATGTATTAGTAAGAACAATTTTTAAACAATTAGTAAAAACAATTACTAAAAACAATTTTTTAGTAATTATGAATATAATAAATTAATTTAAAATCTGTTACATTATTCTTATTTCAAATCTTTCTGCGATCTTTGAAGTTTTCTGGAAACGTAAATGACATTTCTCTCAGAAGAGTATTTTACATCACAAAAAGTCAACGTAGTTCTGCACGTTAAACTCTTCCGAAAAAAACGATGATTTTCAAGATATATGCGTCATCAGAGAACCTTCAACACAGTAATATGCATTTGCGTGATGCAAGTGAGTCAGTGGGTAACTTGGAACACATCAAAAAGGATGTGAACGTGTTTGCGGTTTTAGGTGTTCTCGCTCAAGCGCGTAATGCAAAACCTAATGAAAATGTTGGAGATTGTATTTCAAAGAAATTATATATACCCCATAAGAATCTTACTCGCTACTAAGCACTTTTACAAACAATAAAGAAAGTGGTTATTGATTCGTTGATCCGCCTATGACTTTCGATAAATAAAGCGCGTGGTAGATTCAGTATAATTCTACGCCACGTGTTACTTAACGCGCGTAAATGCAATGCTGATGTGCAGGGGCCCTATGGATTTGGGTTGAGAAGAAAATTTGAGGATTCTACAATCAAATATCGTAATTTTGGGATTAAATGAAAGGTAGTAGGATCACATGTGTTATAACTTCCTATTATTAACCTGTAATTCTAGTAATTTAAATAATATCTTAAAATTAAGACCTTCTACATTCCATACGGTTCATTGTCTTGGTTATTTGTTTTGCGAGTTGCAGTAACTCTATCCAATACAGTTGATGTTTCATAACAATTTTTTGAACTTCAAAGATTTTATGAGTATCTATAAATTCTAATATTAATGAAGGTGTATGAAAGCAAGAATCAGCATACGTTTGACACGTGTCTTTACAAAAGAAGTTCAGTGATTATAATTGTTTGTGATCGAACAATTATATATATAAACAACAAAAATATTTTTTTTTGTTTTGGGTTCTTCGTATCGAGCATGTATAGTACTTTCCTGTCAGAACTTTTCTGAATGTCTTTCTTTTGTGTGATGTAATCGCACGGGTTCCCTTAATTTTTATTATACCTCCTAACGTCACGTCGCAATTCACTCACGTCACGTGCACAGGGAAACCAATAGCGTTCACTATCAGTTTTCATGGAAGAAAGAGCACACTTTGCACTGAATATTTCTCAAGGACTTTCATGAGCTCCGAACATAACACAAAGAACATCAATGGTATGTGGTGTCGACCACATCGCTATTGAATCTAGAAGCAACCGGTCTGTTCCGATGACTGCCCAGTCACGTAAACGCTGAATGTCGTGTCGAGATTTCCAAGATAATCAGAAACTTGTCTGCTAGTGTTGAGGATATGTCCGTATTATGTGCAGTGTAAAACTTAAGTTTTAACGAGAAACATCATAACGCCATTTTTAGCTTTCCGTGTTTTACCTGCATTCACAATCGTTACAAAATATCGCGGATCTGCAAACTGAGTGCTTTATTGACACTGTCTGTGAAGGAGAGAAATGTAAAGTCATCAAAGTATTGACTGCGTAGTCTCAAAACAGTTTACTGGATTGCATTGGCAATAATTATTTTGATAATTCACATAAACATATACATGAATGCCTTATCTATTCCAATCACTCAAATCTTTCAAATCAGCCTAATATAATTGCGCTGAATGTCGCCCCAAAAATAACGATTTTTTTTGCTTTTTATACGAATGAACTGTTTTATTTAGATCTTTATAATATTTTGAATCCTCTAAATTAAAAAAAATAAAAATAGGAATGCCACAGCCTACGTGATATTGCGAAATCAATTTTCTGTATCATTCTTTCTCAGTTCTTAAACCCACTATATATTGCTAAGAAACTTACGTAGCTTAAAAGCCATACTAAATAGATTTTATTGATTTCAATAGCGCATCTAGGCTTCGAGTAAATCAAGGCCAAACTTGAAAATCAGTACCCACGGGTTGGAAAAGCGCAGAGTGGGCGGAGCTGAGCCAGAAGAGCGGAGTGTGGCAGGAATGGTGATCGAGCAGGCCAGCTTTGGAGGGCGGACGAGGAGTCTAACGGAGGAGGGCGGTGAGAGATGGAAGGAGTCGGATTGATCGGTGATGCCGGGCGCGTCAACTACTAAGGTCATTCGTCTCGTAAGTGTAGCGCATATTTTGATCTCGAGAGGTGGTGGTGATGTTACCCCGCCGGATGGTGGGATCCGGCGCTGACCTACCCGTCGACTTGCAAGGTTTTCTTGAAGCGGGCATTTCCCACCAGGCGTCTTGTCCGAACCGCAACAAACTCTACGCCCCCCCCCCCGTACTGATGACCAGGCACACGTGGTAATGTTGTCCATAATGTAAGTACGTATGTGGAAGTACGGAGTGAGAATTGGACAAGTGAGTATAAAACATGTCAATTACGTTTTCGGAAACGTGTTAATGTGACTCAGTGTTCAAAGTAAGTAGCCATTCTATTTTTACAAATGTAAATCTATTACGTTCATTTATCGTGAAAAATAACTACTGAACGAATTGAAAAATATTTTTGTTGTTTTGGGTTCTCTTTATAGGACGGGAACATTGCGCGCAGTGCGTGGCTCGTTTGTTTGGGTTCTGATCCGGCATTTGCCAGGAATTTATCGCAGAAACGAGGTAAAACTATCGATGAGAGCAGTCGGCCGCTAGAATTCACCTCCAGACAGCGGCTGAACGCGGCCTAACAAACCACCTGGTGTCGAAAATTGTGCCACCGTAGGGATTGGGACCCAAGGACTTCCCGTCAGAAGCACTGCAGAAGCATCTGTTGATGCCATAAGAACTCTTAGCCGATGGAGAGGGTTGGAGCAGAGCAGAGCGGATTGGAACCGTCGGAGCGGGGGATCGCAGAATCATGGCAGAGCGAGATCATGGCGAGGTTGTCGAGGCAGCGCGGGTCGTTGCCGGGGGGAAGGAGGGCGGGTATCTTTAGAAGAAAAAAGAAAGAATTAACGTCTATATTTTTGTCAATTAAAAAAATAATTGCAACAACATTCCAGGATTTTCTTAGAAAAAAATCATTTTATTAAAACATAACATTAACACAAAGAATATAAATACGAAATAAATTTCAAATTGCAAGAAATATGTGTGTAGAATAATTCATCTCTCCTTCATAGAATCAATTCCATTGGATGGATGATCTGACGGATTCCAATTTCTACCCATAATAACTACAAATATCAGAGAGCAGATATGTGTGCGTTCTTGTACGCCACACATTGAACATAATCCGCGATGAAAGAGAAGTAAAAAAAGTGTTATGAAAAATGTGATTATTTAATTAAATACGACTTTTACTTTCTCAATAATGAAAACTCACAATATGATTGAAATTTTATGCAACACTTTGAAAGCATAGTTGGGTTTATTTCATATTCAGGTATGTAGTATATTGTTATGTTCGTAATACTGTATAGTTTATCAATTCTTTATAAACTTTATACAAGTAGTCAGTCGAATAATATTTAACGACACGCGGACGATAACACAAATAACGGACTTGATTGGTTTACAAAATTTAACCGCGTAATTGTAATTCAGTAACTAACAAACTATAAAATTTCATTGAGTCATTAAATGTTTAAACGCAATATTTTTAAAGCATTAATTTGGTACGAATACATATTTTAGCAATTTATCGTAATACACTTAAACATGTAAAATATCTAAAGGTACGCATAAAAAAGTTATCAGAATAGCTCAAAATTCCAGAGTATTTGCATTGCTGAGAAATCGATACTACACCTTTTCTTAAAATTCTGAATGAATGTCTTATATTAATTCAATAAATGTAATATATGCGTTTCTTTATAAATTCTTCAAACATTAAACACATCTTATACTTCAAAGCCAACAGACATTCTTAATGCGTGTTCCCAAACTAGGTGGTGCTGTCTTTCCTTTTTCTCAGCGCTGAGCGAGGCAAAACGTGACTCACAATGCACGTTGGCCTGCATCTACCTCCACACCATTGTTCTTCCAAGTAACGGCAACTGCAGAAGGAAACTGCACTTTCCAATTTTCTCCACGTGTGTAGCTCTGGTGGGTGGAATCTTATTCAAAACACAAGATTACATTACGTTCTTAGTTCATCTATTATGTGCAGTATTCCCTTTCAGCTTGCTCTGATAGTCATGGCAAATTTTTCTGAATGTCGTTGGTTGTATTTTATTCATGGCACCACGCAATAACTATAATCTTAGTGCATCTAATGCGTACTCAATTTCACTTTCTCTTGTCTGATTGCATCAATTCAACGGCTTACGTTAATGAACTGATAACAGATTTCCATTAATTAATAGTCAATCCATTCAAAGTCAATTCTATTGTCTCTTCACTTGAAGTTGTTAAAAAATTATAGGCAACAAATTACACATTTAAAAGGTTCTCCTTTCGCAAAACAGGTTCTTTCATTGCAAAGTTACTAACAGTCTTTGACTCGTCGCCAAGCTCCCCGCCCCCACACACAAACTCTCAATTATTACTCTCAATTTCTTTAGCTCCCTGAAATTGTGTTTATTAACACCAAAATATCCCAATAATAAATGTTTATGTGATAATTTATACACGCATACGTAATGTGAATTCTTAAAAGAACGCTTGTCACAAAGCAAATACTTGTTTGCATTGACATGGAAGTGCCCGAGGACTGAAAACAACTTACTCAGAGGCAATAGCAGGAAAGGCTGAGACATTGAACATAAATCCCAAAGAGAAGAATGACTTGGTCGTTATGTATATATTCATCTTTCTCGTTCAACTTATTCAAAATTATCATCCCCCTCTGTAAATATCATACTTATCGATTAATTCATTGAAATACCATAATATTGTACTATTTCGCACCTCAGCAGGTGTATCGACGTCCCTCGTATACGAACCTCTTTGGTATTGACCTTGACGGACACTGGTGAACCATGAAACTCTGGGTCAGTGTATGTGGCCTCTACAAGTTCTTGCATTAATGAACTATAAACCAGCGCAAACAACCCTCATCTTCTAACTCCACCATGCAAGCGAGACCAATAAGGCAACAAGACTGTATGGAACTGTTTCACAACGATCATTGTGAGACGCAATGAGAGTCTCAGGCATACAACCGTTCGTGTTCTGTGCTTCTTTCAATTACATTTGGGCACTCGCTTTGAAGAGAACATGGCATTGCTGCCACCATGCTACGCTCCCCGCCTGGTGCGATTCTA